GGAAGGAACCATTTTCATCATCTCTATCTTCTTCGTGTTCGGCTTGTCGAAGACAACACATCAGTGAGGAACAACTAGTTGGTAACTAGGACGCGGAAAATATTCGTGTCGGGTTCTTGACTTCCCTGCAGTTGTACGCGAGTCGAGTTCTTTTCTGCTTCTTCGCCGCGCTTGCCACATTGCCTATTTTTATGATAGTTGAAATATTGAAGGAATTACGGCTCTATTCACTGTCAGTACTATGCACGCTAAGCAAGTGGCGTCCAATACTTTTAAATTAACGTTTTTCTAGGGACCGCAGATGCTGGTTGTTCAGTTTTAATGTCTGTTTTAACAAGTCACGCGTGATTAGAAGACTCTTTTCTTAAAGCTCATTTGGGTTAAAAGGGCATGTTTGCCTTCCCTCTCGGTAACCACGACGCGCTGTTTTCTGCTCATTATGCTCATTAGTGACTCATAAGTACGGTATAGGTCTGGACTTGGAGACAGATGAACGGGAAGCAAACAAGTGGGTGTGGTCTTTTTAAGAACTCAAAATCTTGTGAGCAAGTAGGTGACGAACGTGACCTACCGACGGTTTGTCAAGCTGATCTTCGTCCCCAGCCTATACAATGAAGATCACTGAGAGACCCTACGTCTTCCATCCAGACAGTGGGTCTTTAGCTCTTTTTTCCAAATGAAAGGGCCTTTGCAGAAGGAGCGCAAACATAACCTTAATATAGATATACATTAATTATTTAAGGATGGCTTTGGACGTTTATGTTTTTGAACATCAGCTACACTGTAATTAATTCTCAGCCTCCCTTACCAGAGGATTAGAATGGCTGTCTGGTTTTGTATATGCCTATGCAAGTTCTTTGATAAACTTATGGAGAGCAGGCATACTGAGATCTGAATGTAGCGTGTGATTCGAAACATACCACGGAGTTCCCTTGATGGAGCGAGCATGTGCACCTTAGCGTCAAAGGACCAAGCAGCACATGCATACGTCATGATAGGCTAATGATGGATTTGTATAAGAGCAATTTATTTGAGGTTGATATTCCTTTTAGTAAGGGATAGTCGTTTAAAACCTAGGTCTTCTGGCTCATAACTGCTCCACGTTCTGCGCTTTGCACAGAAGATGTCGCATCACCAATTCCGGTCTACTAGTCAGGGGCCCATTTTTCCACACCAACTTCAGTCACATGTTGCTTCATAACTTTTGATGATGATATGACTATAAGCAAACCGCTGATTTCCATTGCTGCTATCAGAAAATGATGAAGCGTTGCATACATTGACCAGAAAATCTTTGAAGCGATTGGCAAAACTAAAAAACGTATGTCTTTGAGCTTATACGCATCGAGGCCTATAGCTCATGTATGTGTGAGAGAGGTAGATGTATGAAAGTAACTCCTATTTCCATTTGAATTGTCAGATTCGCAAACTGTCTAGATCAACGAATTTGAATAGATTAGAAACATTCGCACTTTTAAAAAAATAACACTAAAAATATGAATATAATTATAGACCTGCCACAAACTGACTTATGTCAAGTGCACTTGTAGTATGCACTTTGATCCGGACGAAAAACTGACAATTAGGAGACAAACAAATCCTTGACTGGCTTCCTCTACCTAGTCTGAATTCGTTGGCCTAGTAGTGAGGATCAAAGTGAACTTGACATAATTCAATTTTTTTGCAGTTATGTTGTTAAGTTCGTAGTTTTGCGGATGATTGTTGTGTTAGACGATTTCAAGACGTGCTACTTCGTACACAATTTGCAAACAGCTGCATAGGCCTGATAAAGGTAGATGTTTCCACCGGTAATTATTTTTATGTTGATACAACGCTGTCACTTTGGTATTTGGCATTAGTATACAAATAAGTCAAAGGTTTGGAATAAAACTACGAAATTTTGACAATATAATAGGAAGCTTGCTTCCTTCTATTCGAATTCGTTGCTCTAGATACACTTTGAGTTTATCCTCTACCGGGTGACGTCCTTCACTGGATGTTTCTATCTTAATCTCAAAAATCCTGAAAAGACATAGTTGGTTATTATAATACCTAAAGTGTATACAGATAAGAGATAGACCGGACATAAACAAGACCACGTGATCATCGAACGCTGTAACATTCGGCAGGGACGTATTAAGAGTCACGCAGTACATATTTTAGATAGTAGATGCTGCTTTGCGTAACTTTGTAGTAAATTAGCACAATTCGATGTGTATACGATTGGTGATGGATATAGGATCATGTGGGGGTGGGGTAAGAAATATATAATGATGTAAATATACATAAGGGTTTCAAAATTTTCGCTTCGATTTCCAGCTTCGGATGCCGCCTGATGTTTGGTGAAATACAGTCGAATATAATCTCAAACTGGCGTTTAAATTAGCCTAAATTAAAAATAATCGTATATCTCTCAAAATTGCTTTTAGAATATTGATTAGTATATTTTTTGATTTCTAGGTAAATATGTAACCAAATTAAAACGTTCAAAACGTAAAAAAATGTGCATGGTTGAACATTGTCAGAAAGTAGATTCTTGAATAGGTTTTGCCAAAATGGGTTCGAAAATGTCAATAATTAATTAAAAAATACAGTAGCTTTATAATTACTTATAACTTACCGAATTTGATGAACGACATCTTTTATTGGAAAGATGAGCTTGATGAGCTTTCATCATCGCTACTGCCTGAAGCACCAACGTCAATAATGAATGGCTCGACTTGTTCCTCTAAAATATTGTCCAGTTCCCACATTCTCTTTTCAACTTTGTCTTTCACGTGCTTAATACAGTTTTCCCATTTTTGCACTGTTATTAATTCTAGTGCTTCTTTGAAAAGTCCTTTGAGGTCACAAAATTTAAAAGTTGTATTGTGCTTAGCTATATAATTTTTAACCTCTGCCCATATGAGCTCAATGGGATTGAGCTCGCAATGGTATGGAGGTAAACGGAGCTCAGTTTTATTTTGACTTGCTGCCATTTCGTCAATGGCGTATTTTTGATATTCCGCCTTGTGATCCTTGACAATCCTTAATAATTGTACTTTCAGCATTGCTTCTTCAAAGTTGATATTTTTCGAGCGGAGCCAATTTTGAACATCAACTTTCCTTGAAGTCGTTGTTGGGACCACTGTTCAAACGATTCGCCATTCATTTCCTCGTGGTAATCTCCAGTTTTCTTAGACTCAAAGCACCACAGACCGTTAACAACAAATCCATCCTCACTGCCAATATGGCAGATAATGAGCCTTTTCCCTTTACCTGGAAATCGAAGTACTAACTGGTGTAGATTTATTTCAATAAGCGAACCTTTTTCAAATGTTTTCATCACATTCAGCGAAAAAACATTGAGACATGAGTATCAGATTGCTATAATTGGGATTATTTAATCATATTGAAAGAAAGAATATTGAACGTTGTATGATTACTCAGCGCTTCACAATTTAATTTAAAGTTATAAACCTTTAAAAAATGAATGATCAGGAACCTGAAATACGCGCAAATATTAATATTAACAAATTATAACTTTATAAAGCTTAAAGTATGAATTAAAATGATTAGAAATATTAGGAACGGTACACAATATAAAACTTAGTAACTTTTTTTAAGTTTATAATATTCGACATATTTTAAGATTATATTAAAAAATTATTGAAATATCGAAAACACATAAAAACATGGCTTAAAAAAGTTCTAACAAATGAAAATGACAATAAAACATCCACGCATTTTATCGAAAGTTATAAAAGTTTTGTTACTTGTAATATGCTTTATCTGCCCCTTGAAATTAATGTTTAGAACCTTGTTCCCAAGGTTTGAAAAACATCCGATTGTTGTCTATTACTCGTATTTACCTGCTGGATTTTTTAATCCGGTGGACAGTCCATCTAGAAAGGCCCTCCTGGATGAAGTTACAGAATCATCAACCCATACTTTACTTGTAGTGTGTCCTGCGTTTACCCACGTTTCATCAAGGTAATAAATCTTCCTGTTTTGATTTCTATATGTCCCAATTTTTGTTAAATAATCCCTCCTCCATAGCACAATTTCTTCTCTATCCAGTAGTAAACTATTACGACCCCGTTTTTTCCATTTGAAATTTAAATGCTTCAGTAACGCATGGAAAGTTGATCGTTTGAAATTTGGCAACGTTGTATCTCCATTTACCTCCTGCAGTACTTTATCTATAGTAGGTATTTCATTCCTAAAGAAGAATTCATGCACTTTCCTCCTAATCGCATGCTTGTCAGCTTCATCCAATGATTTAACAATACTTTTGCGATGTATACTGGTTATTGGCTCAGAAAAGGTGTGATTTTTTTTGTATTGTCTTAACACATTAAACACTGATGCGCGACACACCCCAACTTTGTGAGAAACCTTCACAACAATTTCTTTGATGGTTGATGCCTCGTTCTCCTCGCGCTCGATCTTATATGTATATATTCAAAATGACCTCTTTCATTTCTGCACTCAGGTGTCTTTTTTTAGAGCGTTTCCTAGGTGGACTACAGGAGTTTACAACTTCATCGGCAGTATCTGTACTACTGGGCATTTTGCGCAAGCAGTTGATAACAATAACAATCAATAACAAGGTATAACAATAACAACGACAAACTCAACAACTTAATAAAATAACAAACGAAAACGTCCAAAGAAATATCAAATTGCAATGATGCACACGACATACGTAACACGTCTGAACCTGAATGTGACTCTGCCTTGATACGACTGCTCTGCCGCTCGGCATAGGCATTTAATTGCAAATTGACCAATGAGGGCTCCTGTTTTACGTCGAGACGGCGGCGTTAGCGTGAAAATCACCCGAACCTTTTGTTTACATCCGGTCTATCTCTTATCTGTCTATACTGTATACCTGTTACCGTGGGTGCATTGTTTGAATTCGGGAACATAGCCGATCAACAAAAATTATATAGTACTGAGAAGGAATGGTTATGATTTCTTTAAGGTTATGCAACTAGTGACTAGAGAAAAACAAGTAATATAAAAAAGTATGGAATGGCTTTATTTTTTCGTTACTGTTACCATCATATTGAAAATTCACAAAATTGACACTGGATAGAAGTATCAAGCAATAATCCATGGGACGAGAACTAACACAGGACACTTCACTGCCTGATGACGTACTTCTTACAATCAGCCACGGAACTGCTGATTCTTACTGGAACTTCTCCGCCGACCATTTTGAAAGTTGGTTGGGTACGACATTTCTCTATATCATCCTGTCTTTCTAATGAGGAACATCTCAATCTGAAAAATTCGCTAGCCTTGATAACAGCAAAAGTTAAATGCAAGTGAAAACGTAACAGAACCTTATTTGAAAAATATCCACTGTTTACATACACCAAGACTCACAATCACTTACACACAGGTTCAGGAGAACTATCAACATTAACCTTCTCAAGGTCCATCTGAAGATATATCTTGTTGACAAGTGCCCTTACACTCTAGCTGACAATTTTTTATCCCAAAATTCTATGCCGATTCATTTTATGTGATCTTTCGTTTACCATGGTTTAAGTGTATCTTAAAAATGTGATTGTTTAAGCGACTGGATTTTAAGTACTTTTATGATTGTCTACTTATATATCTTATCTTTTACCATGGTTCTTTTTAATGTTCTTACTAATGTAATAGCAGAAAATAACTTTCTTTTTTGTAGGTTGAATCGCAATATTATCTTATGTCGCCCATAATATTCTGGCGACACATTGTACATCTGTCATTTTTTATACGTCAAACATACCAAGGGTATGTTTTCCTATGCTTAGTGAAGTGTAATTGTATGTGCCAGCCATAACTTATCCTACATCATTTTTGAATCATCAAAAAGATCAATAAAGTATCTATCTACTCGTAAAAGATCATTTTTGTACTGGGGAAGCCGCGCAGGCAGAGACTAAATACCGAGGAACTGCACTTGCTACGAAGAAGTGCCAAGCTGAACAGAATTTGAATGAGAATCAGAAGCTTTGTGAGTTCGTTTGGCAGACCTGGAATGCCGTGGCACCTCGAGGAAAGCTCAGAGAAACCAAATTGATTCATCAGCAGAGGAAGCTAAGTACCATACCTTTTCTTTTGGCAACAAGTATTCAATACTGTCTGTAGAATGTCAACAACATGCTTGAAAGTGTTTCCATCTAAAAATACTCCACTATCTCCAGGATGACAGTCATGCAGCGAGTTCAAAGCTCCCTCCAGAGTTCGGACTGCTACGTAGTTAGCTGTCGAATTTGTTGTACCATCGCACCCTGAATTGTCAGTATCATTCCTTTCGTCATCAGATATTGTATCCATAGTATCGGTTTTGGTTACGTAGCTAGTGTACTTGTCGTCATGTGTCAGTAGCACCTGCAAACATGAGAGTGGGATATTCTTTTAAAATGTTAATTTCACTGGAATATCAATATTTTGTGCGTTTTTACCTTTTTGTGCTAACTAATAATGGCATGAAAAGTCGAAAGTTCAAACGCAAAAGTTCGCCCCAAAGCTATCTCTTAATAGGTTCAAGAGTGACGTAATAATAGAGTAAGATCTAAGGTCAGGCATTACTTATTTTTTGGAAGACAAAACGAGGGGTACGTTTATATGTGAAGTCTGCGAAAATTAAAATTTTGTTTAGTATAAAAAGCAAAACAAAAATTACATTAAAATGAACCTGACTTCAAATATTCTTCGGTCTTGTAGGGGAAGATTTGCACTTTGACTTAGAGACTTAGAAACGCCAAAAATAGGGTTTTAATTGAGCTTTCAAGCATTTTTAGGCTTTTTCAAACATTGAATTGCTTATAACCCGAAAATGGCCAATCTTAGAAAACAGTTACTAAGATCTCTTTGTCCAGAATAATCCTAAACATCCGAAAAATACCTTTGTGACATTAGATTGTAGCAGGTGAGTTTATAAGTAACATTCTAGCATTACATTTCCCACAGTTTGAAACCGACTGAGCATGCGCAGTGGAGAAAACATTGCCAAGCAAGGGTGAAACTTAAATGGAGATTATTGGTCCGCTGTTTCAGCAACCTAATTTTTGGTTTGAAAACTGATTCAGTTATGGGTGCATTATGATTTAGATTTATGGTTTTTGAATTGTGTTGCGAGTTTGCGTCTTTCTTAGTTTCGTTGCAACTTTGAACAGTCAATTGAAAAGGTTGAAGTCAGATAACCGTTTTCAAGAAATTTGGTGTGTACTAGTTTTGTATTGTGTATACCTGTTTATACTGCCCATAGAAATTTCACTCTTATAGTTGAAGTTCAGAATCCGATTGGATCTCAGATATCGATTCGAGTGATGAAGAAGACAGTATACTGCTTCATGAAACATTTCAGAGGGACTCGCAAAGAGGCTGAAGATAATATCTCAACTAAATACGAACACAGCATGTTTTTCAAAAAGACGACTGGAGGCAATGAGAAAAATTCTGCTTATGAGCGAACACTCATCATCTTTTTGTAGTTCGCAGGACAAAGAACATCATCATTTCGAGATGTAGCAGATAGATTAGTTGTTTAATCTACAGAATAAGACGTTCAATCAAGCTTAAGAACTTAGTATATCTGGCCTAACAACGAGGAAAGAAACAAAATTTCATCTAAATATCAAATACGATGCTGTCACTGTCAACTCAAACGTATTTTGACAGAAAAATGTGTTCTAGCAAAATCAAATTTGACCGTTCGAAATTAGATTTTTGACAGCGCATGCGCGTTGAAGGAGATCACAATCTGATGCCAAACCGTTGTAATTGTGATGCTAGAACTACTATAAACGCATGGTACGCTGACAAAATGCGAACCTTGGATTTGAGCAGACGTGGTTACACGGACGTACTGCACTTCATTTTTTATTCAAAGAAAGTTACTGAAATTGCTTAGCCCTACCATACTACGTGTTTACACTAAGTGTATACCTACATCCTACTAAAATTTGAGAAAATACCTTGTCATACTGGGTACTGTGTCATACTGTGATTTGTACCTTTAGACGTAAATTTTTCTAGCTCGACTTTTTTTCATAATCATGTTCATTATGTGACCCTTAACATCGATGAAGGGGTTGCCGTTCAGGAAGCCAGAGAACATTTTTTTAAACAATTTATTGGAACAAATTTAAAAAAAATTTTACGCTCCTGAAAACTGTTGTTAGATTTTTTGGACCATTTTGAACACCAAATATTCGTAGTAATATTCCTCTAAAGTTGAGCCTTTTCCAGCTATAAGCGATTCGATGCTTGAAAAAGCCTCAAATTGCAATTGTAAACGCTTGGTTAAAAAACTATACTTTTGAGACCATCAAGTGTGTAAATAGAATTTGAGACCTCTGAAGAGTGCTTCTAGCTTAGTTTATTTTGAAGCGACTTTTAAGCTTGCCTATTAGACCAAAATTGCTGAACTTTCCATTTTCAAGACATTACTTCCAATGCCTGCATGTCTGTCAAGTTGGATGGGAGACCAACTCACTGGAGACAGGTGAAAAGATGGAGTGAAAATAGGATTACATCCTAATGACTGATTTTTATATATAATTTTGTAAAACATTAGTACAAAGCAATATTCAGCACTGCCAGACACTTCCCACCAGCCATAGCTTCCGTTAGATGGCTTAAGCAAGGTGTCTCTAAAGACTGAACTGACCTCTCTAACTCATCTGTATGACGATTTAAAAAAAAATTCAGTTAACAATTATGCGGTTTAAACAAAGTTTTTCATTCTACGTTTTCGCTGTATGTTTCTATAAAAGTTCTATCGAATAATATTTTTTTTACCGACACTTTATTCGATAGCACAGAAAAGAATAAAGGCATTGCATGGAAAATTCCTTCTATAACTTATACAGGGTGGCGAATCGAAAACGAAACAGTCGCATTTACTGGCGGCTGTTTTTTTTTTTTGAAAAACGCTCAGATCCGTCGATTTTGTTTTCGATCGGGACACAAGTTTGGCAAAAAATCACGTTAATACGTACAGCCCCCTGGGAGGGGGTGATACCAACCCTAAAATCTTAAATGGAAAGGGGGGTCGAGTGATGCCTTATTTTAAAGGTCTTTCAATTCCCTTTATAATGATGTAAAATACATGAGCTTCAGTTCAGTAGTTTTGATGATTTATTGATTTAAAGCTTAAAGTAGACTTTAATAGGTACATCAGATTAGTTTGCACTATTTTCAGAAGAAATTTGACTAAAAGAATTTACCTAATAAGTAAATGCTTTTCTTCACTACGCCCATGGTTTGTTTATCATTTTGTTGTTGAAAATAGCTATTGGAGCATTTTTTTGTGGCAAAAAGCTATTTCTTGAAGAAAGATAAGGAAATATCTCGTACTTATTTTAAATAGGAATTTAGTACATAGTTTGCGATTGCTTTGACCAAACTGTGTTGCTAAAATAACTTGTAACGCTTTATTACATAAATTAACGATGATATATTCCACAGCAGAAGGAGTTGAAATTATCGAAATATTTTCGAAAATAATCAGTGCGCTAATAGAACAGCAGAAATATTTAATGAGCGACATGAGAACAGTAACGTGCATCGAAAATATGTTCTAGAACTTGTAGCTAAATTTCGGGAAACTTGGTCAGTCGCCAATAAAAAACGCAACATTGAAAATCCCATAAGGAACGAAGCAATAGAAGTGGGGGTTTTAGGGCAAGTTTATGTAGATTCTACGTTAAGTACCCGCAAATTGGAGACTGTGTGTGGTGTTAGTCAACATACTGTCCAACGGATTCTAAAGGCCCATAGTTTTTTTTCATCCGTATAAAATTCACCTGGTACAAGAACTTAATGAAGACGATTTTGATTGGCGATTACAATTTTGTGAAGATATGGGTGAACGAATTACAAACGATGAACATTTTTTATTCAACACTTGCTTTTCCACCGAATGTACCTTTTTCTTAAATGGCGTAGTAAATCGTCATAACTGCCGATATTGGTCCGATTCTAATCCCAGAATTTATCATGAGGTTCATACACAGCAGCCACAAAAATTAAATGTTTGGGCTGGTATTTTTGGCGATCATTTAGTTGGTCCCATTTTTCTTACTTGGAAATTTGACCGATGAAATGTATTTGGAATTACTGGAAGACGCCATAGATCCTGCGGTACATTGCGAATAGGTTGATGTTCCAACGGGATGGTGCCCCACCACATTACGCATCAAAAGTGTTCGACAATATTTAGATCAGACATTTCCAGATCGATGGATTGGTAGAAGAATGGCCCCCAAGATCGCCAGATTTATCACCTTTGGATTTATTTATGTGGGGTCAATTAAAAAGCAAAATCTATGCTACTCAGCCAACATCATTAGAAGACCTGCGACAGAGAATTGTGAATAAGTACCTTCAAATTACTCCTCAAATATTGCAAAATGTGCGGCAACGTTTTGAGCAAAATCTTTATTATTGCATGGAGAGTCATGGTGGCCATTTTCAACATTTACTTGCCTAACGGGTCAGTTCATTCTTCATTTTTCAATTACTCTGCTGCCAAATGTATTGATCTCCACTAATGATGATATATTAGTTTTATTTAAGCTTTAAATCAATAAATCTTCAAAACTACTGAACTGAAGTACATAACTTTTATCTTGACGTTAAAACTTTGAATGAATAAAAATCAAATTCTATGAGCTGATTTTCTGGACGAGAAATGCAGAAGTTTTGAATGAGCTCTTTTTCAATGAACGAGTTACAAATATTTTTTCTTTACTGGCGAGGAATTACTGTAAACGCGAAAATTTTTCGAAAATGAGATCTTATGTTTTTTGGATGTTAGCATAGTGTTTTCTATGCTTTGACAGCGCTACCACGGTGCCGCATCTGCCCGAGTTAGATATTGGGGGGAAGCGATGTGCCACATACACTACCGGTATGGCAGAGAATGTCTATGGACTAATTGTAAGGACCTAATTGACTGACTTTTTCTCAGAGGGTCTAGTTTGTGTTCCGCACTTTATGAGTTGATATGGGCGTTGCGTCGGAAGTGTCAACCTACTTGACGCCATTTTTTCTAAAGCAATTCACTTCATCTCTTAGAAATGTTATTTTGTTTGTGTGGATGATACTCGGCTATATGAATTCTACAGATGAAAACCAAAAGCATTTTTACAAAACTGAGTAGTACCGTCAGTGTATTGAACCGTTTTCTTAGAATTTTAAAGCAATTTCAATTACATTTTTCTGTTTTCATAAAACGAAGCTGCTATTCAATCGGTTCCAATGGCTTAAGCTCAAAAATTAGAAAAAAAAATTACCGATGAGTCTCCAATTCCATCAGTGGTATCTTTTGCAATAGCATTTGTGTTGCTATCTTTAGAATCTGCCGATTGACTCTCTTTGGACTCATCCTTGGTTATTCCTTCATTTGTCTCAGTTTTCTCTTTGAAATTTCCATCATTTTCCTCAGATTTCTCTTTGAAGGCTTGCTCAGTATTTTTGGACTTTTCAACGGTTCCCTCAGTTCTTTCGAACTTTTTTTTGACAGTTCCATCTTCCTCGAATTTGTCCTTGGAAATATCTTGCTCTGTGGTTATTGATGAGCTGTTCTGGTTTGAGTTTTTCTGTGCTGTATGCAGATTCGCAGCGATGTTGTCTATGAAAGGTCAACGAATGCAATTAAATCTTCCTGTTTTACAATATACCCTAAAAGACTTCAGTAACCAACACTCAAAATGAGCAGCTCGTCAATTCGACAAGTGCTTTCATTGATGTGTGATGTCGGAACAGAAATCTTGTTCTGCGCATTTCATGGCCGCACATAAGTTTTCACGCCAACTGGCAAGGAAGTATTGTAATTGGGGGCCATTCAAGAATTACGTGAGCACTATGGGGTCTAGATGATAATTACGTCATCGGTAGTTATTTACTTTTTTACACGAATGGCAAACCTCACATTGTCTTTGCTTGAAAACGAAACGCATTTTCGGGGATTCCCGCAAATAATGCATACGCTTAGTGAACAGCTTTAGAACCGAGTAGGGGAATTACCGCGCGGTGTTCACTTGTGTAAATTTCCTCTAGCAGTGTATTGTTTCGTTTGGATACTACAGCGAGTAGACGTATTGTAAGCATAGTAAAGCATGTTAACATTTGTGTTACCATTGATTCCATTAGCCAAAGTTTAATGTTTAAATAAGATGTCGTTTCACATAGACAAATCCAAGTTATACCAAAGATTGTTTGAAAGTTTTAAAAAATCTCATACAAGTACGAAAGTACAAAATGTACAAAAGTTAGTTAACAAAGTGTGGCGAAATTACAAATTACAAGCAAAATCCGACAAGGAACTAGATATTATTGTATCTAAGAGAATCGAAGAAGAATTGCAAGCGGCGACTAAGAATAAATCCAATCTACTAAATTTTTTTCTAAGGGGAGTGACGAAATCATTTTAGGTACCTATGAGTACTAGAAATATTAGACATTGCCAAAAAGTTTCTCTTTACTGATTAGAAAATATTATGGCCTATTTCAAAGTATAGAGGTAATGTTCATTATATTATAGATCTATTTCTTATGATTGATTCCGTCAATTGGTCACAAAGTACAGGATGTTAGTTTTATTCATATATACAGAAAACTAACACCCTGTATTTTGTGACCGGAACGAACTCCTCGTTTAAACATATTAGATTTGAAGCCATAGGGTTTTGTATTTACCATATATATTGCCATACTTTGTATTTATGTAGCTTAATAAGAGAATCTTTAGCTGAAGCCATAGAAAGTTTTTATTTTTAGACAACCTGTAAACCTGCAGAAAAAACAAAAATTATACAGTCAGCTTCAAATGTTAAAAAAGAGGAAGAAGATAAAAGAAAACCCGGTAATGAATCACAACAGCAATGCGAAATTAATGAAAATACAGATAAATAGGGAGCAAAACCTTCTCAGGAAGCTATGAAAAATAAAATTGCTCTACTCGAAAAAATCTGAATGCTTTGTATTCTGCCAGAGATACTATGCCAAGCCGTTCTGAAGTTGATAAACAGATCATTAAGTTGCGCGAGGAAATAAAAACAGCAAAATAGTCTTTAAACAGGAAGGTTCAAAACGCAGTTGCCCAGAAGAAACACAGGGATGGTATGAAAAGAAAGTTAGAAGATACTTGTCATGAAAATCCAGAAAAAGACAATCTCTGAAGGATTCAGTGGGACGTCCTAATCTTGAAAGCAATCAACATTCACTATTGAAAACAATCGCGGAAATAGCTTTATTTGGGAGTGCAGCAGATGATAGAAGACGAACGGAATTAATTCGCAGCGTAAAAACTCTTGATGAACTCACACAAGAATTACGTAAAATAGGATTTGACATTAGTCGCAGTGGGACATATCTTCGTTTGATTCTCAGAAAATCTAATTCTGTAGAGGGACGAAGACATGTATCGACAGTCCCTGTTAAGCTCATTCGGGCTCAAACCGATCACCACAAGAGCCACTTAGTTAGCAAGTTCGCTGAAACATCAATCCACTATTTAGAGAACATAGCATCCTCAAGATGATAAAGCTCGAGTCCCTATTGGCGTAACTGCGGCAAATAAGCAAGCACCTCTTCTAAAGCACATGGAATATAACGTAGAATCAAATTGCCTGATCACGATTGGGTAATCGCTGAGCGTCATAAATTAATACCATCTGTTTATGTAGGTATCAAAATCACTTCCAATATGCTAGGACAACCGCAAGCCGTTGGATATTCTGAATCAACATACATAGCTATTCGAAGTGGATAGCATAGTTCATCTACTGCTATTACGCAGGCTCAGGATTTCGAGACGCTTCTCGAACTTGAAGAGTTTCGACCATTAGCTAAAACTGACCATGGACTAGTAAAACTAGTGGTAATCATGACGCTTGATGGAGGGCCAGATGAAAATCCACGTTATTAAAAAGTCATAGGGTTTGCTACACAACATTTTAAGCGACATGATCTCGATGCATTGTTTTTAGCTACCAATGCTCCTGGAAGAAGTGCGTATAACAGAGTAGAGCGCAGAATGGCTCCTCTTAGTCGGGAACTGGATGGTTTAATATTGCCTCATGACCATTTTGGGTCTCATTTGGATGAACGTGCCGTTACAATTGATGAACGTTTAGAAAGATCTAATTTCGAATTTGCAGGAAATGTATTAGCTGAAGTATGGAGTTCAATGGAAATTGATGGCTATAATGTTAATGCAAAATATGTTGGGGCAGGTTAACAAGATTTTCCTGATTTTCCAGGCATTAAATGGTATTCAGAACATGTGCGTGAGAGCCAATACTTGCTTCAAATTGTAAAATGTAGAAATACAGACTGCTGTCGTCCAAGAAGTGGCCTATTTAGATTACTAGACAATAGGTTTCTTCTACAACCTGTAAAAGTAAAACAAACAGTTGATGACTTGGTTTTGGATAAAGGAGGACAATTTCTTAATCTTCCAGCCAATTTAGCTCTACGCTTAAGTGCTTCACTTAAAGATTTCCTGCAGATGCCCTACGATTATTTTTGTCCGACGGTAAAATTGAGGCTATCAAGTCGAACATGCAAAACGTGTGGTCTTTATCATGCTTCCGTCAAGTCACTAAATCGTCACATCGAAAATATCTATAAAAAAGTAAACACGCACTCTGATAGGAAAGTTAGACCTGTAAGAATCGCTGCTCGTCGTGATAATGAACTGATGTGCATGATTCAAAATTTAGAGCACCATGACGTTGAATGGCTCGATGAGAACGCCGTAGACATTCCAAAATCCGATGAAAGCGAGCAAACTCACAACACTGAGCAGCAATTGAAGCAATCCGATGTCATCGAAAACTTAGAATCATGATTCGGGTTTCATGGACTGAAGACTGTTAATTTACATTTAATATATGTACCAAAAATTTAAAACAAGTTTGTTATGTTAGTAAGATATAATATTTTTGTCCTATCTAAATCTATTTTCTTATTTTTCAAATTATAATTATAACGTTATAATTATAATATTTAAAAAAAACAATACATAATTGACAAATGTTTACGTAAGCATGGGGGGAGGGGGTAAGAGCTTTGCTTACTTTTGCTGACAAGGGTGATGGGGGGGGTAAATAATTGTAATAAATCTGCTTACGTAATACTTGAACGGCCCATTGCCAAAAATTTTGAAAATGAAATAAGATTTTTTTAACGATTTATGACATGTGCCATCTATGTAACTTACCATCGGTTAGTACAATAGTTGGCAAAGAATCATTCGGTAACGCTTGCTTCACATGATCTGCATTATCGTCAGATGACAAATCTCTAATCTCAGAAGTCCTGATTTCACTAGCATCAAAACTGCCTTTGTTAGGCAACAAAGAGTACATCTCCTCACTCTCTGTCGAGTAACAATTCGGATACGGTGGCAAATTGGCGTTTTTAAATTTGCTGCGTGCCAATCCCATTTTCTTCAAAGATGATAACGTCGTTACCCTCTTAATGTGCATGTGGAACTTCATTAACTTCCTCAAGGTTTTCACTTTTGAGTCAATCAGATCGAACATTGAGAATATGAGAAGTTCGAGCTCGTTTTCTACTAATTCCGCATATCGTTGAAACTGTACCGTTTTCTTTTCCATGTTGGTTTTCGTAGAATGCGACACTTGATGATTTTGAGATGAGATGTGGTTCGATGTGGGCTTTGATAAAAGTGACAGATCAGATACTGACAGGGGATTGAAAATAGAAAAGCAAAGTTGACGTTTTACTTTTGAGATATACAGGGATGCTTAATAGTCCAGGAAATATGTTCCATACGCTCGAAATTTTTTTTTAAAATTGCATCAAACATTGTTTCAATATAATTATTCTAGAAAAAATTTATTGGAACCGAAGTTGAATTATAGAACAAAGGTGTACACAGTGTTGCCATACGTAGCGGAATTCCGCTATTTGTAGCGGATTATTTTGAGAAGAGCGGCGTAGCGGCGGTAGAGCAAATTAGCCCAAAATGTAGCGGAATTTATTACATACAAAACTATCATATTTATTTCACTGTTTTAACGTTAATAACGTTCTAAATCCTAAATAGGCAGTGGCTAGAGTCGATTTATTATCACATTTATAATAAAATTGGTGCATTTGGTGCCGCTTGAGCCATCTAGGAACAGAGAAGAGAATTTTTCCACTTGTCTTTTTTTTAATAACAGATGGCGTACGTACTGCTTTGAATACTAATCGTTTCTAACAGGTCTCAGCAGGCAGACATAATATTAGGTTTCTCGCTTTGTATTGTATTTTTCAGCTCTGGGTATATACTGTTTAGTTTCGTTTATATTAGTGTTCTTATTTTTGTGTTGATCATTTTATTGATATATCATTTGCTGCAGATTTTAATATTAAATCTACTGGTAAGTAACAAAACTGCTTAAATATCTAACATCCAGAAATAAATCTTAGTCGCGAAATTTGTTTTTAACGCTTTTTCTTCTGGAAAATAGGAATAATGGAAAAGCGACAGCAGACCATTAACGATTTTTTTGATAAAAATCCTTCTGAAAAACAAACGGTGAAACCAAACGTGGCCGTACCATCCACTTCGACTGCATCTGTGTCGGACTCGGAGCATCCCGAACCTGAATACAGACAAAATAGAAGAGCGGAATCTAGTGGAATCAGGTCTGAGCCTGATAATTCGACTTGCGAATCTCAGAATAACCAAGAGCCAGAGCAACCTGTTAAGAAAAAGACACGAAAACAAATGTTTACTTCATCATGGCTAGAAGATCCGTTATTTAAAGGCTGGTTTTGACCTATTGAAAGTGACAAGTTGAAAGCAAAATGTAAAGCTTGTAATCAAATAATGGGTGCTAAAAAATCAGATTTAGTGAATCATTCGAAATCAAAAAGGCATGCCACTAATGTACAAGCAATTTCGAATGTAAGAACGTTAGATAGCACTTTTCAGTCTCGGGAAGCACGTGAGTTGGAAAAACCGCAAATATTTGCTTGCTTAAGATACAGTCTTTTAGTTGTAAGTCATTATATAAGTTTTAGAACTGTTGATCATATAACAGGAGTTAGTCAATTATGTTTTAAAGACCCAGATCTCTCTAGCTCACTTAAATTAGAAAGATCCAAATACATAAGTATAATTAAAAATGTGCTGGCTCCTGTTATTAAAGACGAAATAATTTCAGAATTGGAAAATAAACCATTTTCTATTTTATTGGATGAGAGTACAGACCTGAGCAATACAAGACTACTATGCATTCTTGTAAGGTATATTCATAAAAATTCAATCAAAACCCATTTATTGGATATAATTAAAATAAACGCAGATGAAGGTACCGCCAAAGGTTTATATTCTCTTTTTAAAAAATGCGTTATATCCAATCAAGTAAAAATTACCAATATTGTTGGATACTGTTCCGACAACGCTAGTGTTATGATGGGCAATAACGAATCTTTCAAAACTTATCTTTTAAAAGATAATCCTAATATAATTGTCAACGGCTGCATTTGCCACTCTGCTCATTTAGTGGCGGTGGCGGCAGCTGAAAAGATTCCAAGCAACGTTGAAGCTCTTTTACAAAACTTATATTCTTACTTCTCAAGAAGCCCAAAAAGGCAGTGTGTTCTTGAAGAATTACAGGAATATTTCAAAAAGTTAAAATTAAAAATTTTAAGCCCTAGTAAAACAAGGTGGCTTGCTTTATCCAAATGTGTTGATAGAGTTTTGGATCGGTGGGACATCTTGCTTAGCCTATTTAGATTAGCTTCTATTGAAGACAAAAATCCTGTAGCAAATATAATACTTAATGAGTTACAGAATCCATTTGTTAAGGCGTATTTAACGTTTTTTAAATTCGTGTTGCCCATTTTTAACCAATTTAATGCTCTCTTTCAATCAGAGAAAGTTATGCTCAATATCATATCAATAGAGAGTGAGCGATTTGTACGTCATCTATGTACAAACTTTATGCGACCAGAATATTTTAAAAATGAGAAATTATATAATCTAAATCCTAATGATCCCCACTGCTTATTACCAATTGAACAAGTGAATGTTGGTCCGCATACAATGGATGCAATAAAACACTGTAATAACACTGCAATCGAACAATTTAAATTAAAATGTGTCACATTTTACCAAAAATCGGTAGAAGAGTCCCTCAAAAGATTTCCTATCAAAGACAACTTCTTTTCAGAGTTAAAGTTTCTCTCACCGGTTGATGTGATGAACAATCATCTTATTATAAGTGATACTTTTCATGACGCCGTTTTAAAAAAATTTGCCCTTCATATTGAAACCGAAAAGGCAATTTTGGAACTAAAGAAAATATGTATTTATTTTAGTGATAGTGAGAAAGAGGAAATTTTAAAAACAAAAAGTAATGTCGTCGTTTTTTGGTTGTTTGTAAACGACCTCGAAAATTTTAATGACGAATATTTATTTCGCACTATAGGTAAACTGGCTCTAATCATTTTAACATTGCCTCATGGAAACGCTGATGTTGAGCGAACTTTTTCTTATATGCTTGATTACAAAACAAAAAAAAGAAATAAAATAATACCATCAACTTTGTCTGCACTACTTACAATTAAATTAGACTCGGAATCAAAAAAACAGTTCTGTTTATCCTATAGTTTTAATGAGAATCATTTAAACAAATATAAAAAGAATTTATATAATGTAAATAAGGAAGAACAAGCTGAAGAAGAAGTAATTTCTGATTCTGACTGTGAATTAAATAAGCAAACGTAGGCATTTCCACGTTTCCGCTTCTTCTTTGTTCTTATTTTTTGTTTTTTTTTTCTATTAAGATTAAGATATTGGTGATAGTTTTTACTTTTTTATTAGTTCCTAATTCTAAACCAAAGACAGTTTTGTTTTTTTAGAGGTATACTTTTTATGTTTTTACGAAAAATTGCAATTATATTATGTTATTGTTTGTATTTTTAGTAGGGTTTTTAGACAGTGTTTAAAAAAAAGTAAATATGTAAAAAATATATTTGTTGTTTATTTTAAGCCTCCCCTCCCCCTTAAATTTTTAGACCGTAGCGGCATGTAGCGGAGTTTTGCGATACGTGTGACGGATATTTTAAACTTCGCTCTGGCAACATTGGGTGTACAATACCTATACTCAATATAGTAGTTTGGGATTTCACTAATTGATCCTTGAAGAATATTCAGGAACTTTGCCGACATTAACATGTTTTCCCTCATATTGTTTTGGGTTCGAAGATAGCTTATTTCTTGCTCGTTCATTCAAATATTAAATCGCCTGTATTTGAAAAAATACCAACTTTAGGGAAAAGTCTGCAAAATATTTTTTGTTCAGAATTATCTAACTTTGTCCGGAGCAAAAAAGTATTTTTTGGAATGTTCAAACAACTCTTGATGCAATTTTGCGCTTCGAGGCATGCAGATCCGTTAAAAGGAGCCCTGTTTGAATGACATTATGCAAAAAAACTAGAATATTTCTTCGAGCGGATAAGAGGATACGGACCATGAGAAATATAATATTTCATAAAAATACCAAAAGTATTATCACCATATCAGCTAATCCCCCAGCTTACCATATGTGTAAATGCTATTGAATGCCGTCGTCTTCTAAGGTGGTATTTCGCTGCGCGCTCATTGATGCCGCACAGAAAATTTGTGTCGAAGGTATGCGACGAGATGCGCTAAAACCGGATACATTGTAGACACTTTGATACGACAATATGCCGGCATTCGCCGGTAGGATCCCGCGTTCGCTTAAACAGTACCATATATGCATGCCGTCGTCTTCTAATTCGATTTGTCGCTGCATGCTCATCGATGCCGCACAGAGAATGCTTATCGAAAAGCAGGCCAAGAAATACCCCGGAAGTGGGTGACAGCATGCACCGGTAGGACTCTGCGTTAGCTGAAACCTGCCAGATTGTAGACACTGTTATATAACGGTATGCCGACGGACGCTTGCGGTATTACGAAGAATTTTTACCACCGCATCAATGTCTTGATAAAACTTACCGTATGGAGGATGCCATTACAAAGATTTTTCATCAAGTAGTGATTGTGTAGCGTTTGCTGGAAGCTGCCAGATTGTAGGCACTGCCTACGGACGCTTGCGGTATTACGGAGCATTCTTAGCACAACTTTACTAGCTTGATAAAACTCGGAACACCCGGTACTATATGTGCGAGTGATATCGCATGCCGTCATCTTCTAATGCAGCATTTCACTGCATACTCATCGATACCGCACAGAGAATTTTTATCGAATAGCACGCCAAGGAGTTCCGCGGCAGTAGAATCCCGCGTTCGCTGAAATCTGCCAGAATATAGACATTGTGATACGACGGTATGCAGACGGATCCTCGCGGTATTACGGAGCATTCTAACCACAGCATCAATATCTTGATACCCGGAGCGTATGTTGCATATTTGTGAATGCCACCGCATGCCAACGTCTTGTGGTGCGGCATTTCGCTTCATGCACGTCGATAACGCGCAGAGAATTTTACGAAGCTATGCCAACCGACGCTTGGGGTGCTACACAGAATTCTTCCACTGCTTCAATGGCTTGACAAAAAACGGCTCACACGGTACTATATGTGCGAATGCCATCGCCTGCCGTTGACGTCTAATTTTTGTCGAAGAGCATGCCAAGGAATACCGCGGCAGTATGTGACGGCATGCGCCGGTATGCTTTCGTATTTGCAGCCATCTGTTGGATTATTGTGGTGAGCTGATGGATGCGATGGCATGCCGAAGGGCGCTCGCGGTATGACAGCATTTTTCGTTAATGTGCGCTGGAGGTTGAAGAATTCTTCTCGATACTCTTCTCTGTCATTCCCAGATGTGTATCAGTCCTAAATGTAACATTTCAGACTATCTATAAGTCTGAGATATTGTCCATAACTGGTGTTTCAAATTCAGTTATAACCATGAGAATATCGGAAACAGTAAGATATACGAAGTCGGTTAAATGAAGACATATTTAGATTACTAAGAAAATGGCACTTGGAAAGTTCCGCAATTTAGTGTATTTACGGAGGATAGACAACAAAAATTACATTCTTTTAGAATCATTTATTCCTGACATTCCTGGCATTTCAAACTAAATTGCACATTGAAAATGAATATTTTCTCTTCTGCAAGGTGGCATAATTGCAATATTTACATATGGCGTTTCTTCTGTTGCCCTCAATCATCAACTTCATTTTTTCTTATAGACGCCGTATTGGATTTTCAATTCTGATTTCAAAAATGTATCAGGTCATATCAGCACTGCAAAACAATAATTAAGAAAACATAATTTCATAACTAGACTAAGAATATGCCAACTTTTTCATATTACGAAGGTACAGTAATGACTACATTGAAAACGGTATAATTTTAGTGATAAAACATTTTAGCGCAAGTAAAAGCCTCAACGATGTTGCAGGTTGCTAAGCGCATCTTATGTCCATTAAAATTGTACCAACCTGGACTACGGATCAGGTGTCTTGTATAAAGACTTAGGCCCGTATCGTCAGTCGTCCCTACAATTGTAGGGCGCGTTTATGGCCTCCTTGATTGTCATACTCCTTTCTCCCCTTCAAAAATTTCGAGATTACACTTGTCCCGTGTCAGCGTCAGCGCTCTCCTATTGTGAAGATATGTTTTCTTCTTAAATTGTAGGAAATTTCAGCCTGATAAAACATGATATAACTCAAAAGCAAGCATAATTTGATGCAAATAGATGTTTGTGACATAACCTCAAAATAGAGTTCTGACACGGAGAAGTAGAAAACTATGACAATCAAGGAGGCCATACAGGCGCTCTACAATGGTAGGGACGACTGACGATACGGGCCTTAGTTGAACTAAAGTAACGCTTAGTCGATAAATGGCCCAATTATTTTATTGTTCTTCAAACAACAAGCTGTTATTTTCGGGGCCAGCTATGAACAACTTATTTATTGTAAATAACAACTGGTTGACAATGTTAATGTAATTTTTGGAATCGAAATTAAGAACTCGATTTCTTCCATGCAAAGATCCAATACGGCGGCCATAAGAAAAATAAAGTTTACGATTGGAGACTAAGCGTCATATTGGAATTCTGATTATGCCACCATCTAGAGAACAGGAAGTGGCATTATTAGCGTGCAATTTACTTTGAAATCCAACCTCAAATAAGGTAAAAAAAAAGTCGGGAATATTCTGAACTACGAAACCTTATTTTTGTCTTGACTATTGTTAAATGATTAATGAAGATGTTTGTACTAATCCAAGTAGAAAAAGTAAACCAATATGATAACCGATTTTAAGAAACATCAAACTGCAACTTAACCAACCGGAACGAGGAATACGCCACAACCAAAACGGTATAAATAGTTAAGTTAAAAATATGTTCGCCAGTTCACCTGATGACGATTGAAGATCACATCAATAGAAATGTCGTGAATCAAAAAATGAATGAAGTTAGATAAATAACATTTCTATGTACCTTGTTCTCAGTTACCTAAGAGCGGATATTTACCCTCATCTAGCCAAGTTTGAATCTCTTACCAGTGGTGGGAGTCGAATTTGAATCACCCGGTATATTTTGAGATCTTATCCCTTGAAGCTCACCTATACCAACCCTTCTTGACGTGTAGAAGCCAGTTCAGAATTCTTCTTCATCAGAAGACAGTAGACACCTCATCATAACCCTAGCATTAGAAACTGCAGTGGGTAAAAGTGGATACGTTTCATAGAATGCAATAGCGGACTCATCCAAAGATGGCCCAAAGAATATCCGAAAACACCTTTCGTGCAACAAGGCTTGGATTCTACGTATGAGTTCAGAAAGACAGTGAGATGTATCTTCAGCATTTTGATGTGAGCATGGACAGATTGAAGATTCACTGGCGTGTGGTTGGGTGCTAGTGCTTGACATTCTTCTGTGGTGTGATAAATTATTTGAAGATTTTTGGTTGCAAGAATTGGTTGATGGTTGAGGAGGAGAAACTTCTGATTTACTCCTATTCATTTTATCGTTGCAGCATTGCTTGCACGATGTTGAAGGTGAAGATCTTGTATACGAATGTCCTGCAAAATAAAATAGAATCTCACCTACAGCCTTATATATCTTCTGAAACAAATTCATTACTGGCTCTCTAATCAACTAAAACTCAACTAAGCAACACTGTCACAAAATCTTTCTAAGCAGCAGAAACTCCAATGCACGTGTACTAGTCTCACCTGATGTAGGAGCTCTACTGTTGGATTTCTGTTTCTTCTCAAAGCATCGACAATCATTTGTCTGGCTTTTCTTATCGTGTTTTGCTACACTTCTACGTTTTTTACTGTGATCCGTAAAACTTTGATTTGAACTTGAAGTTAACGAGCTTCTTGAACCTCTGGTAGTATCACATGAATTCTTGTCTGTTAAATCAGTAACTGCTTTACTAGATCTGCTTGGATAGACTTCGGTATGGCTTTCGTGAGCTTTCTGGTGCTTAGAGCAGCATTGGGTTCTAGAATCTCGGCGCTTGGACATTGATGTACTTGAACACCCTCTAGGGTCTGATTTTATTTTGTCTTGAACTTGACCAGATCGTTTCTGATTCAGATCCATAGAAGTGGCCATATAAATGCCTGTTCTAGATATGTATATATCATAGCCATTGTTGTTCATCTTATTCTCTGAATGATTTCCAGGCTTGCCTGAGTTATGATCGTCTTCACATTGTTGATGAGTCATTCGGCAACAACTTCCTCCATTCCGATGAGACTTATCTTCTATCTCAATTTTGTCTTCTTTGTGATTATTATCATGCTCTAATTTTGTCGACTCATCCTTTGAATCTGCCAGTTTGGGTTCAGATCCCTTGACAGATTGCTTGGAGTCTCTCTCATTTAATGTGGAAGATCTGTACTCTTCTTTTTCGGTCTTTTTCTCTCTTATGTTCTCTGAATGACTTCCAGACTTGCTTAACTTATAACTGTCCTCACACCTTGACATATCATCTGGCGCTTTATTTCCTCGATAGCAATAACATCCTTCATTGTGCTGGGTCTGGTGGTCTTCTTTCGGTCTCACACACTTCTTTTCCCTCTTCATTTTGTATTCTTTCTGATCATTATCATAATATGGTTTTGTTGACTCAGGCTTTGAATCTGCCAGTTTCGTTTTAGATCCCTTGACAGATTTATTAAAGTCTTTCTCGTCTGATGCGGAAGCTCTGTGCACATCATTGTCAGTGTTTTCTCTTTTGTTCTCTAGAATACTCCCAGACCTGCTTGACTTAGGATTGTCCACACATCTTGACATAACATCTGACCCTTTACATCCTTGATGAATTATTTGGCAAAAACGTCCTTCAATTTGCTGAGGCCTGTGGTCATCTCTAGGCTTTACAGAATTCTCTTCTCTATTAATTTTGTCTTCTTTGTGATCGTTATAATGATCTGATTTTCTTGACTCATGCTTTGAATCTGCCAGTTTGGTTTTAGATCCGTTGACAGATTTCTTGGAGTCTTTCTCACTTAATCTGGAAGATCGGTGTATATCGTAGTCACTCTTGTCTCTTTTGTTCTCTGGAAGGCTTGTAGACTTGCTTGACATAGGATCGTCTTCACGTCTTGACATAACATCTGACGCTTTACATCCTTGTTGAATTATTTGGCAACAGCTTACTTCATTTCGTTGAGGCTCATGGTACTGTTTCAGCTTTACAGACTCTTCTCTCTTGATGTTGTTTCCTTTGTAATCATTATCAGGATCTGATTTTGTTAACTCGTGCTTTGAATCTGCCAGTTTCATTTTAGACCTCTTGATAGGTTTCTTGGAGTCTTTCTCATTTGATGTGGAAGATCTGTGCTCTTCTTTTTTAGACTTTTTCGAACACCAGATACTTCTGTTTGAAAAATCTTGTTTCTTAGTCACGGATTGTTGTGACGCATCATTATTTGGAGAATCTGTGACCTCACTTCTAGAATTTCCAGCTTCACTATATAATTTATCTTTCGACTTATCTTTTTTTAGATACGTTTTTGAGGAATCCTGTTTGAAAGTCTCAGATTTTTGTAACTCTTTATCATCTAATCTTTTGTCCTTGTTTTGAGATTGCTGGTCATAAGAGCTTGTTTTAGTTACTTCCACTATCTCAGTTTTTGCTCCTGATAACAGCGATAGTGTCACCTTCATACAACTTTTCTTGTTATCATTTTTGTTATCTTTTCTATCTGCTCTACTTACTGGTGCATTTGATATTTCAATAGAATTACAAGTATCTGTCATATATTCTGATTCTGAAGCTATAGCTTGCCTCAAGCAATCGCTAATAGCCCTTAACACGTCAGTACTCATCTCATTCAGCAGATTTTGCAGCCTTGCTATAGCTGCCTTGACCTCGTCTTTCACCTCTTGTGGAATCTGAAGGACAGTATCGATTCCACATTGATCACAACATGCCTCTACAAGCCTTAAAGCACATCTCATTGTATCTGTCGACCTGTTTTTCGCATCTACAGCTCCGTCATTTCTTGGACGTTCCTGAATGCTGCTTTGGATTTCTACGTGTTTAGTATTTTTGCTTTTCTGAGACGGTATGTTCTGTACGCAACTTTCGGAGCAGTTTTCAAAGTCTACATTTTTTATTTCTTCGCTATCATTTACAATTGCTTCATCCGCTTCATTGCCTAAGATATTTTGAACCAGCTGGTCTGTTAGAGCAGGAATTTGATCTACGCAATCTAAAATCAATCTGACAAGCTCGTCTGTATTCCTACTCACATCAGAGGATGCTGCACCTCCAGATTCGCTTGACTCTTTTAAGGGTTTTCTTTTACGTCGAAATTGAGCGGATTCGCAGCTGTATGGTTTGACATGTCTAGTTTTCTTGCCCATGCTTCATGCGTGATGTTACGTGAATTTCTCCATTGGTGGCCTTATGACGAATATGTGGTGTATATGGATGAAGGTAGGATGACTACATCATGACGTTAGTAATTTTTCGGTTAGTTCTTAGGTAATGTCCAGATGACAGGACGGGCCAAATGATTGATGAACGATGTTTTTTCGAAGTTCCAAGATAGTCCAGGAGTAACTTCGCTTCCAAACTCAAGGGTGCGTCAAAAATTGTTTAATCAATTTCCAAAATTTTCTTTTCTTCTGAACAGAAAAGGTTCTTTTAAACTTTTAAAGAACCGAAAAAAAACATTATTTGGAATGTGTTTGAAAAAAGTTCAACCAACCTTTAATGCAATGGACTGGGAATAAACAGATTAACTAAAAGGTACTTTTTGATAAGATTATGCACGAAAACTGATTTAGATTTCTTTTCTGGGCGAATACGAGCCATTTTATACTACAATGTGTAGGTTGGCTCTTGTTGTGGACTTCGTGTGTCTTTTTTTCCTCTCCAACTTTGTTTCCTCAGGTTACACCCGTATCCGGATGTATGGGCATGTGTCTCTACTTTTGTAGTTGCATATGTGCATGCATTTCGGGCCTGATGAAGCCAACCAGCAGAAATACGTATCGCTCGGGTTACCTATCCTATTTTCTGCTCGAATCCACTTTTTGCGGATTTTGTACATTATTTTCCTATTTTTGTTATATACAGGGTGACTTCGAAGTTGAGTCATTTATTTTAACAGTGAGTAGATCTGATCAAAAGAAATGTTTTTTTCCTTTACCATTTTTCTGGTAATATTAAAGTAACAAAGTTATAGCCCTTTGGAAGTTTGAGTACCGCCCTGTCTCAATAATAATATTATATGTTCGTGTTTGGCGACAACGGATATAATCCGCCTGACCGGTTCATCGCATCGGAAACAAAAAAGCGAAAGAATTTGAAACGTTTATCACGATGTTTTTCGTCAGTCGATGTTTACGAAAATGCTGAACTTGTGGATATGATTCTTATTTACGGGGGGGCAGTCTACAAAATGCTCCCGGATGCATCACGGATTTATGCGAATCAGTTTCCCAATCGAGTGCAACCAACCCCTCGTGCCTTTGTTAATGTAGTACAAAGGGCTCGTGAATCAGGTGACTTAAGACCTCACAGGTCAGGGCATGCTGCTCCAAGACCGCACGATCAAATACAGGTCCGCACTGAAATAATTGTCGGGACGATACTTTATTAAACAAGGTAACATTTTTTTTTATTTATTTTTTTATTTTTACACACATATTTTGGTTTATCTTCCTTCTACAATCATTATCTGAAAATTAATGACTCAACTTCAAAGTCACCCTGTATATATATAACCTATAGGGGTATCTCATGCAATAAGCCTGACATAGTTGTGAGGAATAAACAAGCAAGCGAAGCCTATATCATAGACGTTGCAATACCTAACACCCAAACGTACTCACCACCATCACAGAGAAAAAACTAAAATATACAGCAGACGAAGTTGAAGAAAATTTGGAACTTAGACAGGGTCAGACTTGTGTCTATTGTTTTATCTGCAACGGTAGTTATACCAAAAGAGCTTCATAAAAAATCCCGAAATACTTGGGCTAAGCCAAGAAACAATCAAACTCTTACAGAAAGCTGCTATACTAAATACGACTCGAATAATGTGACGATTCTTGAGCCAAGAATAGCGAGAGTGCTTGGTAAGCAACACCAGTACCTCGTCATACGCCAGGAATAACCTGAGATAAAAAGCTATAAATAATAAATAATAATGAAAAAATGGGGCAGAGTAAAATAAATATGAACATTAGCACATGCGAAGACGCGGGACCGATCAAAATAAATAGAAAATAATATGAACATTTACAAAAGCATGCCACAAAAGTTTTTTGTCAAATACTCATCAAGACAGAAGAATGCTTTTTGTGTTTGATAGTCTTTGAGTTTCTTGTGGAAATCATCAATACTCATGTGAACATTACTGCCTTTCACGTACAACGAGCAACTCAAAATATTAGTGCATGGTACAGCCAGAATCTGCCATTTGATGACTTCAACCTTGCAGGGATCTCTATATTTCAAGCCAGACATGTAATGGATACATCGCCCTTGCATTACAATTTTTTTTTGCATATATGAAGAGTATTAGCACAACAAAAATGCATAGGTGAACAATTTGTTAGATACTACCACTATTAGATTACGAATGAGGTAGATAACTGTAGACAAACCATCCACAACATAACAAGCATGTACTTCCCAAGTCAGAGTACAGAATACATGAATGAAAGAATGAATCGTGAAATTAGAGGCATTCCGACCACCATAAGGAGCCAGTGCATAGGCCGCTTAAACGGGTCCTGATCCACCTCTACATTCCTTATATCCTAAGCCTCGCCTTGCTTGCGAAGTTGAGTATGGCCTTGAGTCCAGGCTCCTTGACGTCCTGAGGGTCCAAAGTATTGGACCTCAGTATAGTCTGCCTATAGTAACTCAGAGCTTCACAGCGACACAGAACGTGTGCCGAGGTCTCTTCCTCTGCCCCACAGTGCTCACACAAGGGATCCTCAGCCACCCTTATCAAGTGCAGGTGGGGCCTTAACGTGTTATGGCCAGACAACAGTCCCACCAGCAACCTCATCTTGGCTGTATCCAGAGATAAGCAGAAATACTCATGCTTAGCACTGTGCCCTACAATAAGTTCCCGTGCCTGACGGAGATGTCTGGAGATACTTCTTCATTTGTAAGAGTCTTGTCCTGTAATCCACGTCTCCATTTTCCACCTAACTCTTTGCGCGGTCACTCCTAAAGCTGGCTCAGGACCGACGAGCTTGCTGGCTGATCTTGTCTTCGCTAGAGCGTACCCTCATTAACGATACCGGATGCTTTATTGCGAGACAATCCAGAGCCTCACTGCATTGCAATACAAGGCTCGAAGTAATCTTACAGGCTTTCATTGCAGCCTTGCTGTCGGATAAGTTTGTTATTCTTCTTCTAGACCCACCCTCCTCCAGAATGCGAGATACACAAGCCAGAATCGCAAATATTTTCGCCTGGAAAATAGTGGTGGATCTACCGAGAAGCAGAGATAGCCTAATTCTAGGTCCAGAGACCCCAGCGCCAGAGCCCTCTTCGGTAACCGAGCCGTCCGTGTACCAGACCTGCCCCCTCACTCCTAAGAGTCTCCGGCTACCGACGTCCCACTCCTCCCTCGTTGGATACTCCACATTAAACTTGCGGTTGAACGATATTTAGGGGTAATGAGATCACTCCTGCTTATAAGGACGGGGTCCTCCCTTTGCAGTTCGACGAAGATGGCAGTATGCCCCTTGACAGGATTCAAGAAGGCCCAGCTGCCCTGACTCCATAGTCGATGAGCGACTACTCTCGTTTTACCGCAGATCACTAGATCCACACAGTCAACATACACGTAGCAATTTCACAGACTTTCAAGACTTCAAGTCATGACAGCGTGGGATAAATATTATCGACTGACTCTTATCAGCACTTAGTGCTAGCTTATTGGCAGCAAACCAATCACCAAGGTCCGACTTACATTCTTCGCGAGGCTATTTGCACTATTGAGTATCTCTGACAAGCTACTAGGAATATTATTGATAGAAAACCTCAGTGCTCCAAGAACGGATACTTGAGCAACTCCGTGGACTACTGCTTTGGCGTCGGAACTACAAGTATTTAAACACTAGTCGTCCTCTCTCAGACAGATATGATTCTAAGTTCATGATACTACCAGGATGAATTTGGTAAAATTGTATTTTTTTAAAGCCTTCGTCAGAACAAAAAGGTCCGCTTTGATATGTGAATGGTTTTCAAAACCTTTGTTAACGAGATCTCTGTTCTTCAAAAGGTGGTTTGATCAGGATACTGGGTAAGCTGAACCTTCAGCAGTATTTCAAAAATCTTTGCAAAATACGAGATCAAAGAAATTGGCCGATTGTTTGAATATATTGCGCTAAATTAATATCCTAATGGTTTCCTGAATGCCTGAGCAGATCGCGGTGCAGCCCCCTAACTTATTTTGGACTTGCTCACCGAAGTTAGCAGAGTGGGATATAGATGACTTAGTTGCCAGGTTTTGCCTCCCCGTTAATGCTACTACTACAGGGTATTTCAGAATTTGTGGACAATGTACAATGTGATAGTCATTAGAAGAACGAAGACAGAAATAACAATGGACGCCTTTTTGAGCATTTAATTCGAACGGAGGACTCCCTGTTCACCGTTTCCCGAAGCAGAACCGCATCACGAAGAATGCAAGGCAGGAGAAGAAAAAACCCGTCACGGCGGCGAGCCGATCGGAAGCGGCCAAAGGAAGAAAATGAAAAAGAAAGAGTTGCGCAAGAACGGCTTGCTGTGTATGTTGCAACAGCAACAACAACAGCAACAATGCAGTGGCGTACTTATCATCAAGGTTAAGTTGAAAATGTCAAGGTTAAATCAATGGAAGAACTTTGTGTACTAAAGAGTGATAAATAAAGGAACCATAATCCCGGATTTAAAGTATCTTTAATAAGTGCATACTATAATTGTAGTAGAACCTATGTCCTGACCAGTAAGTTTCGCAAGCTCAGAGCTTCGCGGCATTTTGACGCACAGCGTCGAGCTACTAATCGGGTGACCCTAAGGCTCGCGGGTTCGAATCTCCACCTCGTTAAGTTAATTTTCAACCATGAATGTTGTGCCTGGTTACAGAGGAGGTAATATTCAAGGTTTCGAGGCAATTCAAAGCGATAAGAGGCAGTCGAAGAAGGTGCGAGGTAATTTAAGGAACTTTTCCGCACCTAAGGTTTTCTATCCAATGGAAAGAGATCCTAGGTGACCCCATAATATCTGAGGCAATCTGAAGGGATTCAAGTGAATACAAGAAAAACTGGGGTAATTGAAGGAGGTCCTAAGCAGTTCAATGAGATCCGAGGTATAGACATGGATGCAGTTCAAAATGCTCCTATGCTATCCAAAAAAGCTGTTATCACCAGTAGTACCCCAACATATTTGAGATTGTCCAGCGGGATCCAAAAGAATTAAAGGAAATCTGTTTAAGGAGATCTGAAGTAAGGAGGTTCGTGGCAGTTTAAGGAATTGCTATCCAAAATAGTTTTCAGTTCCAGGGGA